GGGGGTACTGACGAATGCGATGATTCCACTCCATCCTTTTTCATAATGTCTTGCTTCGCTCATAGAGGCTTCCCAGCCAGGCAGTTGAGACAAAGCAAGTTCTCGTACAGCTTTTGAAATGGAGCCGAAGCTTTTCTGGTTGTCGTTGATGAATTTCTCCGGGTATGGTCGTAGCCAGTCTGTGTACTCAGCCTGACCCGGATTGGCTCCTCCAAACAAGATTGACCCTCCCCGAGGCAGTCTGGGATTAATGGAGAAGAAACCATTATTCGTGAGAATTCCGTAGGAGTTACGCAGAGGGAACGGTTGATGGGAAGGCACTAATGGAATGACGTTGGTGCATATGTGAGGATAAGGGCTAATGAGGCCCTCCAAAGATGGCTGGACAGCCGAACTGTAGGCATTAGTCGCGTAAACAACCTGTGAGCATCTGATGCTCCCGCGAGATGTTTGTACGCTCCAAACCAGTGGGCTCCCTGAAGAGGGAACAACGCTTTTGGCTTCAGTATGTGTGTATAAACCGAGACCCTTCTTTAAATTATCACGCATAATGTGGGCTGTAAGCTTCCAGGGATTGAGGGTCGATGCGGGCCATGCATAGCAGGCCTTCGCATCTTTAATGAGAGTCAACTATGTTTACCATGTTAGCTATTACTGTACTGTCGTAAAATAGTAGTATTTTCCTACCTCTGCTGCAGCTTTGGGATCGTTGATTATCTTAATGTGTTCGGTTTTTCCACCAGCAGCCATAAAACGTTTCATGGCAGATGCTGCGGCATCTGCAGCCTCCTTTGTGACAGGGACGTCAAATGTGTCACCAACCCAGAGGTCGCAAGCAACATCGTTTTCCCTCACATAGGAAACCAACTGAGTCCAGGTTTGCTGCTCATTTTCCAGTATCTGAGAATGGCCATTAGCAACGGTCTGCCTTCTGGCTGTAGTTCAATATCTAGAAATACCTTCAAGGCTTGTTCATCACCAAACTTTTCCGCATACTTTGGGAACCCGCGCCATTGATCCGGTTTGCAATGTCCCGCATTTCGGCCCGTAGCACCAGAGCAAAATTGTCGGGCTTCCAGAACCAGAATTTTCTTATCAGGCCAAGTCTCGATACTATGGTGTGCAATAAGAGTACCACTCAACTATTGGTTAATGAGAATTTGTTTTAAGAATTTGTTTTAGGAATTCGTGGATGCAGCAACCGGATATACTCACGCCAGAGCCGATAATGACAATATCTGCCTCAGGTGGAAGGGTTGGTGCCGAAGAATGATCGAGAAGGGCATCGCCTTGAGCAGCCTCCAACCAGGCTGATACAGAGGACCCATCCTGTTTGGGGTATCCCGAGCGGCTCCTTCCTATGCTTGCAGACGTGGCGTCCTCATAATTGGTCGCAGAAAGAGAAGTCATCTTGTGTTGTAATATCTTTTCTCGTTGTGGCCCGTTTGTCTGCTTTTCTTGTTCGTGTATGATTTCCCGTTGTTTAGATCTTGAACGGGGCTGGTATTGAGAAAATAATTCGCGACTGGGCGAATGAGAGGTGTTAAAAGACCGTAGGGAAATAGGTAGTCTTATATTCTGTTGTGTGGTGACGAATTACGAGGAAATGTCACATCATTATGAGCTCGATTAGTCAAGTGATCAAGGCCGGAATATTGAGTAGCAACTTCCCCGTGTGCATTCGAAAGGAAGTCGGCAATCACCACCCCACTCCGCTCCGATAAAAAAAAGTCCTAATACGGCAGTATCGTCGGCAGCTGACATCAGGACGCTTTCTTATCAACGCGGTACTCTTCCCTCCTATTAGTCCTGTATGTTATTCCGGATGGTATGGTCTGATAACCAGCCGTTGCCTCGCTTCGAATTGGCACGTCGTAATCAATCTCGGGGTTGAAAAGCAACATCCCAGACTTGTTAAAGATAACGATCAATGCAATATGAACGATTTGCAAGGTCCCTTCTCTGATATCGTTCAGCAGATGGAAAGATTGGAAATGAGGCGAAAAGGAATAAAACTGCCTAATGGCCGGTATCTCTACCTATTAAAGAGCACCAAGTGCTACCGTCCGTTGACTCTCACCTGCTTCAAATCAATCTACATGCCTTGACTATTCTTATTTTTGCATACTTTGAAACTTGTTTTCTCTTTTTAACGCTGTCTAAAATGCCCAACATTGAAACTAGAGATGGCACTGAACTATGGCCACCCGGCACCGTTTATCTCGAGAAGGCGAATGCCACTGGCAGAGGCAAGGGCAAAATCGTCCTTCAACCACGGCCATCCCGCGATGTGAACGATCCTCTCAACTGGTCAACACGACGAAAATACTGGAATTTTGCGCTGGTCTGCTTTTACGTCTCCATGGTAGCAGAATGCATCAATGCACCAACGCCTACATGGGGCCCAATGAACAAGGAGCTTGGATTCAGTTACGAGATCCTAAACGACAGTTATGCTGCCGGATGTGCAGCTCTTGGGGTCGGGTCTATATTCATGATACCCTTCGCCCTGAATTATGGACGTCGCCCGTTATATATTATTACAGCCGCCATCCAATGTGGTGTCAGTGTTTGGTCTGCGAAATTGCAAACGCCGGCGGATATTATAGCGTTCAACGTGGTCCAGTGTTTCGTTGCCAGTCTTGCTGAGGCAATCGTTCAGATGACAATTGCCGACGTCTTCTTCCTACATCAGCGAGGGCGCATGAATGCCATTTATGTATGGACATGGCTACTGGCTAGTAACCTGGGGACACTGATTGCTGGCTTCATCACTGCGGCTCAGGGGTGGAGATGGATTTGGTGGTGGAACAGCGTTGTGTTTGGGTTCTCAATCTTACTGTTCTACTTTGGGTATGAAGAAACCAGATTCGTTCCTCCCGCTGTGGCCTCCGTCGATCCGGTCCTGGCGGATTCAGTCGACAAAACTGATGTTGGAGAGGATGCCAAGACATCATCGGCGGGTACAAAGTTCGTTATTAACGGAAAGGATGAGGCTCCAGAGGGGACATCATCGGACTTTCTAGGAGACCTAGAGTCTTCTAACCATGCGAGCCCACAAACCGACTTTGACCCCGCCATTCCAAAGAAAACCTATTGGCAGAAGCTATCCATCATTGATCGTGCCTCAGTTTCCTCGTCAATTTCTGTTTCTGTCATCATTCAACAGATGTTGCAGCCGTTTGCCATATTATTTACGATACCAGCAGTTGGTCACGTTGCACTTGTCTATGGGATCCTGGTTGGATTGGGTGACGTCATGTCGACTACAATGTCATCATTTCTACCGGAACCTCCCTACAACTGGTCCTCGGACAGCATAGGGCTGATGAGCGTCCCAAAAATGATAGGAGTCACTCTCGGTGCCGTGGTTGTTGGGCCTCTCAGTGATTGGTGGATCATCTACAAATCTCGTCGCAACGACGGTGTATATCACCCAGAGATGCGATTGTGGTGTGTCATTCCATTCTTGTTGTTTGTCCCCGCCGGAGCGCTTCTGTTCGGAATCGGTCTCTCCGAGCACCTTTCATGGCTCTCGATCGCGGTTGGGCTAGGCCTCTACAATTTCGGCATCGCACCGATCAATAGTATTGCGATTACATATCTTACTGACTCCTATAAAGATGTAGGTTTCCACCCTGTACATTGGATAAATGTTGATTGGAACTAATGAAAATCTAGATTATTGGCCCGGCGCTGGTAAGCGTCACTGTCATTCGAAATGTTTTTAGCACAAGCTTTATCTTTGCCCTGGACCCATGGGAGGCCAAGATCGGACTGAAATATGTCCTTGTCACTATTCTTCTTATAGTCTGTGTTATTCTTTCTGGGTTTGGTGCCTTTATTCGTTATGGGAGGAAGTTTCGCGAGAAAACAGTTACTCGCTATGAATATTATGCGAAGAATAATTCCCATGGTAAGGAAAGGCGCTCTTAGCATCACTACAGGCAGAAAACAGTATCATATTTGCATCTTTGGATGCGAGTGGTAGTCAACCTAGTTAATTCCTGAAATTCTGATTATCTGCCATTGCTAGCTTCCGGAGAGCCAAGGTCATTTTGCCCCACTTCTGTAAAATTCCTAAAATGGGCCCTGACAGCAGGGTGGCAACACGCCCTTGCAAGCAGGCATTAGTGCTGTTGTGGCACAAATGTGACATAAGGAGCTTCGAAGAAGGTTATGGATACCGGCCCCGGCAGAACTATCTGCCGGGCGCATAGAACGCACTTTATTATCCTCACTGCAAAATCGAGATAGCTTTAGAGATAGAAAGAAGAACAAAAACGTTATGAGATCACACAACAAGGCAGCCCTCGCACTCGTACTTGCCGGTACGGTGGTGCGAAGCCTTTTGTGGTCTCCCGAGAACGACGCACAAGGCGATGACGATTATCTAGCTAGCTATCGAGCGGAAATGTGAGATTGTCACGAATAAAGGACACTCCAAGGGATGATATACCAGTACCTGACTCCTCCCTCTATATAAAAATAGCTATGGGTTAGGGATTTCCTATATACCTCTACCTAAATAATGTCCCTTAAGGAGACACACATAAGAAACATACACATAAAAACAAGCTTTGGATGCGAGATGTATGCGAGGGGCTTGTGTCGGATTAAACAGCTGAATAAGCCGCTGGAAGATGTTATGCCGGTCTGATTAGAGTTCTTCCCTAATAAAACGAAACACCTGTATAGTCACTATTTCCCTTGTATATATAGCAACAACACACATTAATAGGAAGGTTAGTAAAAGGCCTGATTTTAAATCTTTTTCTATTATCACATTGGTGAATAATTATCTAGATAAATGTGACGATTGGTACGACTCTGTGCTACAGGGTAGTCAGAGAAGTGTCGGTTTTATGTTGGCGAGGCCGTCAGGGCGTCTAACTAAGCAATAAGGCAGTCATAGTCGCAGGTGCTAATTGTGGAAGGAACTAGGGTTCTAAAAGAAGCGTTGACTATTGTATTGATAGCTAGGTAAAGAGTGACTAGGCTATGGAAATGAGGTTGACTATATACTAAGCGATCGCTAAAGGGATGCAATGATCGTGAAGAGTGATCATTGCGATCGCTAGGTGATCGAGGTGATCGCTTAGTTAGTGATCGCTACGATCGCTAAACGATCAAGGCGATCACTTTTGTTGTGTGTAAGTGGGAAAGACAGTGATGAGTAAGAAAATTGTGGGGTACACGTGAAGGTCGCATAACGGGCCGTAACAATAAATCTCCTCCAATCCAAAACCCTCAACGAGGGTTTTACCTATATTATTCTGCCATTCAGCCTGACAGCTTTACCCTATAAATAATCTAAAGAACGCTAAAATACGAATTATAATTAAGGACTATTTTATGATAATTAAGCTAACTAATATAATAATCAAAACTAAAGAGGATAGTAACGCTATCTAGGCATTTTACAGAGTAGAACGGCTTATACTAGACCTATAGAACTAGATATAATGTGTAATAAGTTAAAGGAGACTTACTATAAATATAGTAAGAAGGGGCACTATACCTATGAGTGCTAATGGAAAAACAAAGATTAAGAACTATTATTTAAGAGAAAGCGAGAATTTAATGCCTTTACTAATTAAACATAAAGTAGATACATTATCATGTTTATTCTTAAAAAAGATAGAATGCTATAGTTAGTTGCAGATTATACTTATAGTAAGGCTACTAGATATAAAATATATAGAGAACTAAAACTATTACTAGTACTATTACAACTATAGAAATTTGTTGTATTTAGGTATATTATAGAACTATAAACCTTGAAAGAACTAATAATAAATATTACATATAATAGTACTTTCATTCTTTCTAATAGACTTATAAAATATACCTACTTTGTACTATGCAAAAAAAACATCAAATGTAGAACGATTTATATATATGTTTCTCACAAAAATATCATTAGCAACTGTAGATTTAACCTAGAAATATACTAAATAGTGTTGCTAGGATTACTTAGAGAGAAAGTAAAACTTTATATTAACTATCTATAATTAGTATACTCCTAAATATAGAAAGAACTTTCCTTTATTCGCTAAAGAATAGTAAAATACTATAGTAAGAAAAGATTAATCTTCTAGAAAGGGGATATAGTCTACCTACTCTAATGAAATTTTTAAAATATATGATTAAGCTGGAAGTTTAATTATAAGAAACCTACACTATTTAAGATTAAAGAAGCACCTTTATATACTAACAATAAACGATTATTACCCTTAAAAATAAAGATATACCCTAATTTTTGTATATTACTAGAACCTATACTATAAAATGTAGAATACTAACTATATATTAAAGTCTAAAACGAGTATAAACTGGAATAAATTATTAGTAAATGATACTATAAAAAGAAGTATAATACTTAGTGAAATAGAAAGGGTATAACGACGCTGAAAATATATAAGAACCCGCTAGACACCTTAATAACTACCCTCGCTTTATATAATAGTAATACTAGAAACTCTAGAGCCCTCACCAGTTAAGGTCGACTCTTAAATGATATCTACACTGAAAAACGATAGGTATAGCTATTATAGAAAAACTATATAACATAAAAAGTATAATAATAAGTTCCGGCACCGTCCTTATCGAATCTAGCAATTAAAGACATCTCTATTTTTTAGGTTACCCTAAAGACACACAAAAAGTATAACAATAGCGCTATACTATTAGATGATAAGAACGTATTAATCTTAATATCTAAAAACATCCCCCTACTTAATAAAGGACGTTTACTAGTAGTACGCTATACCTTGTACTGTAACTCCTTTAAATTAATACTATAAGATACCGCTTATATTATCCTCTTAAACTATAAAACTTTTCATTTATAGAGACACTTAATTTTAGCGAACATCTAGTATATTACGACCCGTTATGTGGCCTTCATGTATACCCTACATTTTTTCTTACTCATCACTCTTACATTCACTTATAACACCCACTCCGTCCTAGATTATAGTGATTCCCTACGTGGCTCACCACGATCCCCTAGATAGATCACCACGAGCTATACCGAAGCTCACTACGATCTAAGGGACCTAAATCCAGTATATAGTTAACACTATTTCTATAGCCTAGTCACTCTTTACCTAGCTATTGATAATATAGTTAACGCTTCTTCTAAAACTCTAGTTCCTTTTAGTAGTAGTACCTACGACTATAACTGCCTTATTGCTTAGTACGACATCCTAACTATCTCGCTAATATAAAACGACATTATCTCTATCTACCCTGTAGCTCAGAGTTGACCCCAACGTCACAGCTATTAAAAAGACTAGGGGTTGGTATGCTAGATATTAAATATAGCTACTACTCTTTTAATCTGTACTATCTAGATTGCTAGGAAAGAGCTTAATAATCTATTATTTAATATCAAAGTTAAAATATCGATTCTTAATAACTCTACTGGCTAGTAAGAAAAGTGGGGTGGACTAGAGACTGTTGAATAGGAACTTTAATCCTATCCTATACTGTAATATTATGCTATTAAGTATAATAGTGCTTATATATATATAAAACAACCATATTAATAGGCTAAAAAGATATATATAAGGTAAGCAGGAAGGCCAAATAGAATAATTATGTATATTTTAGTATTCAAATATGTAATAAGATCTATAACTACTGATAAATAGTAGGTGATTATGGCTAATAGCTATTATATAGTAATTAAAGCATTAAATCTACTATCATAATTTTCCTCCGTTTTGGTAGGCGGGAAAGTTGAGCTATCCCTATGTTATTTTCTAATAAGGACGGCGTCGAGTCCGACAGTATAGACATTAATATCAACATATAAGCAAGACTTTATGAGAGGAACGGTAAGGATTATAAATAGCAAGAAGGTATTAGATATAGATAGATAATATAATGTCTTTATGAATACTATAAACACTTCCAGCTTATATTTAAATAGTAGGTTAGGTCATTAGTAGTTGTCATACTTTTATCGTTTATTTTATCTATAGCTTAGGTAAAAGGGACTCGACTATAATAATCTCGGATCCGTCCCTCCTAGTATAGACAAGAACAACAATCAATACACACATATCAGCGGGCATACCACAAGACACACTAACAAGAAACGAACATTCCTCTGGCTTACAGATGGCCATAAAAGGGAATGTAAAGGTGCTCATAGCCTACTTTCCCCGAAACCCACCAGGGAGGGGACGTAATGGGATAAACGTGTCTGCATAAAGGAGCTAGAATGTTGTCGTTTTCATCCCGAGTTTGCTTTGCATTTTTGATACATTGTGTCGTGTGTTAGAACCCAAGTCCATTCTGTCTACTTGCGTGCCTATAACGTGCGCTCCACGACACCCCTCTCATACTTTATACAACCCTGTCGCATGAGAGTCCATAATGCCAAACGTCTAGACGCTGAAAGTAGAAAAAAAAATCTATAGTAAACATAGAGGACCCTTAGAATAATATTATATCCTAGGTAACCCCATGAGGTTGTAAGCCATAGGCTCACTTTGGCGCCATCCTGCATAAGCCCTGTCTTTGTATTTTATTCTCACCCTTCTTGTAATGTTGCATGTGTGGTTGACCCCCCCTCCTTTCACTGACACGTGTTAGACGCTAAAAAGTCTACGGTTGAACATAGCGATGATCGTAAATACAAAAGAAAAACTATCTGAACGACGTCCTAATTCTACCTGCTGATGGTAGCGCGTGACTGCTGTTGCTGCCATGGAAATATACCCAGGGACTACATGTACGATGTATTATTCGATACACATTAAAGACGACAAATGCCTATTTCGAAATGTTTTGTGATTAAACCCGATTATAAGTGCACCAGCAGCGGGCTTGATGGTCTCTGACAGGCATGGATACTTGAAGAGTGGAAGTTCGGAAATCCGCTAGATTCGGGATTCAGCGACGAGACAAGCGCGTAACATCCTACACAGAAACTCCACATGATCATCCAGCCTTTACCCACCAATCAAGAAGAGTCGTTACGGATGTAATAATAGAATACGAGCGAGCCCCAAGATTTGGCTGTGAAAGATCTCTCACAACCGCCTTCACCTCCTCTTTACACACTCAAATCTCAAACCGTCACGAAACCAAGTAGAAATGCCGTTGTCCTTGGAGATTACACTACCCAATGGCGTCAAATACGACCAGCCAAACGGACTCTTCATAAACAATCAATTCATACAGGGCTCGGGGGATGATTTCACTGTGGTAAATCCCACGTAGGTCCCTATGCTGCCTTGCGTTGCCTCACTTATGTGTGTCGGACCCTGAAGTATTGACAAGAGATTATCAGAACTGAGGAAGACATCATGAGTCTGAAAGGTGCTTCGGAGTCAGATGTCAATTTAGCTGTTTCAGCTGCGAGGATCGCGTTTGAAGGTGAATGGGTTGAGTTACCTGCTGCTGAACGCGGGGATCTACTGTACAAGCTTGCTACCCTTGTCGACAGGGATCGCGAGATCATCGCCGCCATTGATGCTTTCAACAATGGAAAGGTCAGTTCAATCATTATACGACCCGTATCTGTGTCCTGACAATATGTTGATGTACCTTGTGGCCTTCAGACGTATCACGCTGCTTTGAACGGGGATATCTCGTGCGCTTACAGCGTGTTCAAATACTATGCTGGCGCTGCAGACAAGCTCAGCGGCAGCACAGTTGAAACGTCGCCGTCAAAACTGGCCTACGTTTTGAGAGAGCCGCTGGGCGTGTGTGGTCAAATAATCCCTTGGTGCGACATTGTCTAACAGTCGGCTCCTAAGACTTAATACAGAGATGAGAACTAACTATCATAGGAACTATCCTTTCATGATGCTTGCTTGGAAGGTTGCACCAGCGCTGGCGTGTGGAAACACTGTTGTCCTGAAACCCGCTGAACAGACGCCCCTTTCAGCTTTGTACTTCGGAAAGCTCGTCATCGAAGCAGGCTTTCCGGCCGGCGTTGTCAACATCATCCCAGGACTGGGGGCTATTACCGGAAGATGCCTTGCTGAACACATGGATGTTGACAAAATCGCATTTACAGGGAGCACTGCTACTGGACGTGAAATCATGAGATCTGCAGCTTCGAATCTCAAGAATATCACACTTGAATGTGGCGGTAAAAACCCAAGCATCGTCTTTAGCGACGCAGACCTTGATCAGGCCGCAAAGTGGAGCCATGCCGGTATCATGGACAATCAAGGACAGGTTGGTCTAACGAAAATCCACAGCACCTCACGAAAGAGATGCATATCTGGAGACATGTCTAGATATGTGGACAGATGGAAGGCTTTACTACTTTCGACCCTCGTCTCTTCTGTTGAGCAAGTGCTCTCACCGCGACGTGCATTGATAAGAGAAATGCCTGGCTTTCCCAAACATACATTTTCCTTTACCATTTTTGAACAGAAGATATACTGATAGACTCTAGGTCTGCATTTCGACTTCAAGAATCTACGTCCAGGACAGTGTGTACGATGAGTTTCTGTCTAAGTTCGTGGAGGTCACCAAAGCAAATCATAAAATTGGAGACCCCTTCAACAACACTACTTGGCAAGGGCCCCAGATTTCGAAGGCGCAATATGAAAAGATATTGTCCTACATTGAAATCGGGAAACAGGAGGGGGCACGACTCATATATGGAGGCGCCAAACATGGCAACAAAGGATACTTCATTGAGCCGACAGTGTTTGTAGACGTGAGTCGCCCGTTTCAGCAAGGAATCTTGCTATTCCAGCGTAGCTGTTCCGATAGATGCTGACATCTTTTGCTCTAGGCAACCGAAAATATGAGAATTGTCAAAGAGGAGATCTTCGGGCCAGTTGTTGTTATCTCCAAGTTTAGCACGTTTGAAGATGCCGTTGCTAAAGCTAATGACAGCTGCTACGGCCTCTCTGCAGCGGTTTTTACTGAGAATATTTCCAAAGCGCATCGGTTGGCTAGGAAGTTGCAGTCCGGGATGATATTTCTAAACTCATCCAGCAATTCCCACTTCGGAATCCCCTTCGGAGGATACAAATCTTCCGGCATAGGCCGCGAGCTTGGACAGTACGCGCTGGACGCCTACACTCAAACGAAAGCTGTCCATGTCAACCTAGGCCATCGTTTGTAAGCATGATATAGCGCATCGAATCCAGTATTCCAAAAGAAATCCCGAGTACAACTAGATTGAGGCCATGGAATGTAACGCAGAAACAAAATATCAGTCTAATCGTAGTTTGGATGTTTCTAGGAATTTGTTGATCATTGATATGTACCCTTAACCTTATGGTTTACTGATACATGGTAAGTAATGATTATCAGTGGCCCTTTGCGAAGTAGAGTAATGGGGGCGTTCACTAGACATTGCGTGGTATCACAAGCACTATTTATCCATGAGAGCTTGTTTCTAGCCAGCGGCCACGTAATTTAATTACTTCGGATGTGTGATACAAGGATATGTGTGTTTACAAAGATATTTCAAACAACTCATCTATTATCCAGATTATCTAGATAGTGGAAGAACAAGAAAAGGCACTTCCGACTGTTCCAGATGCATAGGCGTTGATGATACTCTGAACAGTAGTGTAGGTTCTAACAACAGTGATGAAAAAGCCCAGTGTAGCAGTACAAATGTGAAGCCCACACAACGCCATTTTGACCTTGCTGAGCTTGCGGAGCTCCCAGTCTATATACAGGCCCATCCAAGCAGGAATAATGAGCTAATGTATCATCGTCAGTTTGAGCGGTCTACCGCTTAACGGGATAAATTCCTATAGGTCGGAACTTACACAAGTCGGTGCACAACAAAGGGAGCCGATGAGGCCAACGAGATAGCTAAAAAACGGGACAGCTTCAGCAATTATGAAAGCTGCCGTAGTGATTCCAATGGTAGACCCCCTGAGAAATATGTTTAGTTAATTGGTGAATTAATGTGTGAGAAGAAGCACTTACAGCCATGTTACCCAGTGAGTCACCGTGCTATCCTGCAAATGAACAGAATTTCGGAGAATGCGGACAAGGAGCTTGAGATGTAGAAATTAGCGCAAAATATCACAACTACAGATAGCAGGGATATTTAGAACTCACGAATTTTGCTGCAAGATGTACCCATAGAGTGGATGTCATGACGAACCCTGGTATAGAAACGCCATAGGCAACCTTTTCAAGAGTTCCGCCAGCGCTGCCTAGTGATGGACTTGCAACATATTGTCCACAGTAACTGTAAATAAAGCAATGTCAGCTTTTATTTCCTCTCCAGATATATCGTATAACACAGGAACTCACATATAAACAACCGTGCCAAATGAGGTATAACAAGTAGCTAAGAGCCCTTGGGATGTGAAAAGGGCTCTGGGGAATGATGAGGGGTTTCTCATCTCAGCAATGACGGGCATGAACGTCGGAGTTGAGCCGAAGCCAGCTGCCATCGTTTAGAAGTCGGATTAATTTTCAAAGCTCAGGTAGTATATGGTGGTACTCGGACGCACCAAATAGGTTAATTGTGGCGACCATGCCATTCACGAAACCAGGAGATCCTACTGCAACGACATCCATGTCGTAGGGTCCCTGCTGAGGAGCAGTAGCGGGCCGCTCGACCTGAGTGACACCGACACTGTACTCGCCAGATAGTTCGTTAGAAATGACCGTGGACGTCAAGTGTAATATGCATATATTGACTTACACAACAATAAAAACAGACGTAAAGATACAGGCGAAGCCGATCCATGTAAGGATAGCCAATCTGCCCAACGTTTGAATGCTAGCAACAAGTGCAGTGCAAATTGCTGCAACCAGGGTCCACACGACAGCGCATACTTTGTAGCTTGAGAGGGTCTGAAAACCTTGCGATAGACCTATGAACCCTGATCCAGAGGCGAGGCTGTGGATTCACCACCTAGTCAGCTGAGAAACAAAAGCAGGTCGAGGAGCGAGCCCAAAGCCTACATCCACGTAAGAAGGAAAAGAGAACTGGTGATCTCGCGGGCAATGGGGCCTCCCATAACAGCAGCAGCATCGGCGATGTTGTGAACACTGGCATGCTGCATCCGGAAGATGTACATGATGTAGGCGTAGTCTGTCGGAAAATTCAAAGGTCAGAACCTACTGGATTGTAGACCCGGGGGGAGTGGAAAGTTGTCTTTTTCATATGTCGGAACCGACAAGCCTGAATACTTACAAGTCGTTATGGCGCCCCAACAAGCGAGGAGGATGATCCCAGGTCCATACCCAATAACACTAAAAGCAGATGGGATTGCCAGGACTCCAGTGGCAAAGCAGAGCTTGAGGAGGATTATGGAAGTGCGGACCCTGGGGGTTTAACTATTGGTATATGTTCATCACGCCGGAGAAAAACGATCCTACCATCCCAGAGATCTGTACTCTGCTTGTTGAAAGATCTCGTCATTCCCTGATATAATACCATTTTTACTGTCAACCTCAGGGGACGCATCGGGACCACCCTCGGATATCTTCACTGGAGAAAATGATCTGTGGATCGACTTCAATTCTTGCGAAGGAGGCATTGCGAATGCTACCTGTGATCGTACGATATCTGTGGCCGTAATGCGATGAAGGATATGATGGAGGATGAGCTAGTCAAGTCAAACTTGTCTGGCAAACGTGTAAATATCCATGGAATAGTCAAATATCAAAACAAATCCCATGAAAGCGTGGCGAATGGAATTTTAGTATATTATAGACATATATAAAACATACAATCGTGCTCCCAAGCAGTCAAGAACATGGTTACTAACGTTCAAAGATGGGTTAGTGCAACGACCTCTAGAAACCGACATGCGCATATCTCTACAACTGGGCAGTCAGTAATACCACTGATACTTGGACATGGAGAAACCCCCCATGAGATAACGTTCGAGCGTGGCACAGGAAACCCAGACCCATTTTTAATACGGGGAAGGCAAGGGGCCAGGCTGGTTGGAATATTATTGTGGAGTATGACCGGGGATGCGAAAAGCCGACGCTAGCGGATATCCGACGACCACGCCAACAGCTACGATCGGGCTAAGGCACGGGATGGACCCCGCTATTTTCACAAATTTCCTGTTTAGTATCGTAATGGTTTGAGTTAGGAACTACGCGTAGAATGATATCGGCTTCAAATTTGACACCCATATTACGTCAAAAGTATTCTAGCTATATTGGTTGTCTCCGTCTTATGAGGAGGGCTGAAGGGTTTGGCACATTACTGGTGGCGATAATAGGAAAACCTGATTCGGGATATTATTTCAATCTACACTCATCTTTGAATTGCGTAATTTGCCCATCTACTGCCTGTCTTTCCGGTCTCCAAGGTACATGCCAGAGATCCTTAGGCTCCCCGCAATTATACTTATTCAGTCAATGGATACTGCCCTACTGATGTAATTTGTCGGACCAATTTTCACCTTTTGGCCCTCAGAGAATCTCCCACTAGCCTCTATAACCAAGCTCGCGTCGACGGCTTGAGGAAGGGTTGCTGTATCCCCGGACTCAAAAGTCACGTTCCATACGTCTTTCCCATCAACTGACTTGCGGTCCTGACGCCTTGCGGCTAAAGCTTCACCAGAAGCCTTGCGGATGGCTAAGTAGATATTGCCAACTCTGGCCACGAAGGCCGTTCCATCTTCACTTTGAAGGATCCACGAGAGCTCGTTAGGGTTTTTCTTGGCCGTTATATCTCTCCAAACCTCCTCGTAGTCCGTTGGTATATTTTCCAAGTGAGGCGCGGGCGTTGTTCCGATTTCAAGGTCGTCCCCGTTAGGAAGTTTCTCAAAGTGGGCATCATCTGGAACAGTAAGGTCCAGAGAGTCGATAATATGAGTCCATCGGAACGTTGCTGGGTAAAAGAGTACTTAAGTGAGCACGACTGCATGGAGGCTGGGCTTAGGGGCCGTATAATGCAGTGACACTTACGCGGTTTAGTTTTAAGGGGGATTCTCTCGCCTGCTCTGCTCCATTGTATGGTCTGATCCTTTTTACTGACGCGCAAGTCAACAAAATACCCCCCTACATTGAGGGCAACAGTGTCTGAGTCCTCGAATGCTGGGTCTGGAAGCCAGCGTAGGCTGATGCGTTGTACGGCTTGCGATGGCATACTGAAATGTTGGGTCTGATGCGTAGAAGGGGTTCTCGTGGAAGAGCTACTAATGTAGTGAAAGAAGGCATGCAAGGCTATTAATACGTATTACGTTGAGTACGCATAGTGCTGTAGTGGGGTTTGAGCGCGTCAGGTAGTAGTGGTTTGTCAAAGCCTACGCCATCTCCTTAATGTACGCTGAGAACCAGACCTACAAGGCCTCTTGTGAAGTATTACTATGAATGAATCTAGGTACATTCCAATAAAAGTTGCTTATTGTGTTCCAGTGACAGGTCTTTCAAACATCCCCTCACTTGACCGTTCCTTGCTCCATATATCAACGTCCAATTAAGAGTACATCGCATGGTGGAGTAGGAAAACACGCCACAAATCTGTGGTTACTTTCTCGGAGTGGATCTGGTAGACAATACATATGCCCTCAAATCCCTTCTAGTCTAACACTCAACGACGCGAATCTCCACTTCAGTTTGAAGTACTTAGACCTGCTGCCCCCCAGCGTATTTTCAACTCCGTCGGTAAACATTCACCGTTCCTTTGGTTGATAGGAAATACATCGCAAGCCTTCTGCGTGCACCGGAACCCCAGTTCAACTTCACTCCAGAGCCTCTCATCGCCAACCAGTCAGTCTCTAAGAGCTACTTCCGGCGATCTTGCAGCCATTTTTGCTACTATGACGACACTGAGCATCGTGGAGGCATCTATTGATGACCTAAAGTTCGCTCTGTCATCCGGTTCCCTCACGAGCGTCGATCTTGTCGCTCGATATCTCCGGCGCATCGCTCGTTACGACTGTCGCGGGCCATCTCTCAACGCCGTCCCTATCCTCAACGAGAGAGTGTTCGATGAGGCTGGTAAATCAGATGATAGGCGGGCAGCTGGGAAGCCAGAATTAGACTTGGAAGGCATCCCGTTCACTGTCAAAGACAGCTACAAGGTGAAGGGAATGACCGTTGCCAGTGGTTCCCCAGCCTTTGAAAACCTCGTCGCCAACGACAACGCCTTCACTGTCAGCGCCATTAAAAATGCTGGAGGCATTGTTCTTGGAAGGACCAACATGCCACCCATGGCTTATGGCGGCATGCAAAGAGGGATATACGGTCGCGCTGAGAGCCCCTACAACCCGAAGTACCTAGCTGCTGCTTTCGCGTCTGGGTCCTCTAACGGCTCTGCGGTTTCGACAGCCACATCAATGGCGGCTTTTGGTATGGCAGAGGAGACAGTCTCATCTGGACGCTCCCCCGCTTCCAACAATGCGCTTGTCGCGTACACGCCTTCGCGTGGCTGGATATCCATCCGTGGAAACTGGCCCCTGTATCCGACATGCGATGTCGTTGTGCCACACACAAGGTCAATGGACGACATGTTGACCCTGCTCAAAGTCATTACCGCCGACGATTTGATCACTGAGGGCGATTTCTGGCGTGACCAGCCCTTTATAAGTCTGGAAAAGCCATGGGGTGGCAAGCACCTGTCCCCCACCTACTTCCGGGACATGGCCAAGACGACATCTCTCAAAGGCCTTCGCATTGCAGTCCCAACGATGTACATTGGCGGGGAAGCCCCGGATGGTGCCACTCCCGTGGAAACAAGTGCAGGTGTCATCGAGCTTTGGGAGGGGGCCAAGAAAAACCTGGAAGCCTTAGGTGCTGAAGTTATCGAAGTGCCCGACTTCCCAGCTGTCACAGCTTACGAGCACCCGGATATATTCATCTCCAGCGAATCGGCAGCTCGCTTGCCGCACAATTGGAATTGGTACGAGCGTGGCCCATTGGTTGCTCACGGCTGGGATAAATTTCTACGTAGCAACCAAGATCCCAATTGCTGCAGCTTGTCAGACGTCAAGGACGAGTTCGAGATTTTCCCGCTGACCATGCGCGGCCCGGCTGAGTACAAACACCTACCGACTGAGAACTCCCTGCATTGGGGAAAACTGGCGGGTTATGTGCAAGAAAACCCTTCTATGTACGAGTTGGAGAATCTGGAAGAGGCTGTGAAAGCTCTTGAGGCCATGCGCAAGCAACTTTTCGATGACTATCTCGAACAACTTGGGTGCGATATGTTCGCCTTCCCTGCTTGTGGTGATGTGGCCGAAGCCGACGCGGATGTCAATGAGATAAGTGCCGATCTTTCTTGGAAAAATGGCGTATTTTATAGCAATGGCAACCGGGCACTACGACACCTGGGCATCCCGTCTGTGACAGTTCCGATGGGTGTTCTTGCAGACAAAAAAATCCCTGTTGGACTCATGTTTCTTGGCCGTGCATACGAGGATGAAAATCTCTTACGCTGGGCCAATGCGTTCGAAAAGAAGACACGTTTGAGGGAATCTCCGATTCATACACCGGCCCTAGAGTCAGACACTATCCCATTAAATGGACATCCTGCGCCCTCTACTAGGGCTCCAAGGCCAATCCTGATGATTGAAAAGTGTTCCGTATCTACCCATGATCAGAGCGCGGGAATTCTCAAAGTGGAAATTCAAGGTACGATCGAGATAGTGGATGGTCTTGGTGACGCGAAGCCAGTGGCTGAGGTAATAGTGGATGGTCAAGATGTTTCTGCCGACCACGTTGCGATCAAGAAATTAGCGTGCGGGGAGGCTCATAAGACTTTTGAGCTGAAGGCATGGACTCTAGTTCCCAAGCCATTGATCAGGGAGGGATGGGAAAAGACTAGAGCACCAATCGCGGGAGAGAAGACCATAGTGGTAGTGTTGGCTCGGTCATGCGCAGGGGGTTTACCTTCTGGGTACCTGGGATTAGTGTAGCGTATTTTTAAGCTGCACATTATTTCATAATACGTTTTGTCTTCCTCTTTTATCTCTTTTTCCGTCTAAAAACATTACGAAAGACGACAATGGTAAACCCTATACGTGAATTTGGCATTGTAATACGTTACCCAGTTTTCTACCCCTGTGCATGATAAGTGCTAAACGTCCGTACTCGTGGTGGCTAGGATGCGATAGAGGCAATCGACTTCCTATTACCTTGAGCAGTCTGACTGACTGAAGGGGGTTGGTGAGTGGGGCGAGGCATTTGTGTAGTATTATTAATAATATTAATACCACAGTCGCGGACGTAGGCCCAACGTCGTGGGCCATGGCTTGTCAAGTCGTATGGCCCTAGAGTTTCTCGGCTCCATAAAACATAGTATAGCCCTTTATTTGATAATAGTAATTATGTAAATCCAGAACTTCTTCCATCCATATAAATGTTGTAATAACTGGGCAATTTTTATCCTTAGTTTAGCCTATGCCTATCACCAAACGACTACAGCACTCTAGAATCCGCAAACCTCCCTCCACCCCCCAAATAAAAGGTCGCGGCGTTCTGGGGAGCTGCTTCTATATTTGATTTTCCTGTTTTCAAACCGATGGATTCTAGCCATAAACCGATGAAGACAAAGAGACATCAGTCCACGCCTGCTTGCGCTCGATGCCACAGGCTCAAACAAAAGGTAAATTGTATTTCTATTCCCTTTTTGGCACCAAGTCTGACATTGCCGGGTTTGGGACCAGTGTGATAAGGGGGCTCCAAAATGCACCCGATGTGTGAAGGCTGGGGAAGATTGTGTTGCCATAAACAGGCAAACGTCAAGTGAGATCCCCCGAAGGTATGCTCTACCCAATTACGGTATCAGAGTACTTGACAATGCAATTCCCGTTGACAATCTTCGTTAGTCCTCTCCAGTACCTTGAGCATCGTCTAGCTGAATGCCAACGTCTCAACGCTGCAACTATGGACTTAAACCCAGGGTACGTTGATGCGAATCAAATCAATCTACCATCGGAGCAAGCAACAGAGTCCCCTCCGGCGTGCAACCATGCGAAACTGGCCCAGATAGTCGCCGTTTCAGTAACGAGCCGTTCAACACTGCGTGTTGTAAAATGTCACACAAAGCTACAGTACAGAGCGAAGCTATTCTACCCCTCAGAAAGACCGCCCTTAAAAATCCCCATACATGGAATATACCATGAGTTCCGTTCACGGGCATCTGGAAGGGCATATGCTAGCCCGTTTCCCCGTGTTACTTCCGCAGATATCCCCATTTACGTCGCACGGCGCCTTTTCGACAACTACAGAGATGATTTACTTCCGCGGTTTCCATGCTTCGATGATGACGACTTGGTCAATCATTTCAACAGATTCTACAGTCAGAGCGGTGTGCAGAGTGTCGAAGATGATATGGATACGCCCAACGCTCACGGCTTTATTGTGTCAATGGTCTTGGCAATCAGCTCTCTTACCTCAAAGAGCCACGACTTTCAGAAAGTAGCTGCTCTGAGTGAGTCGCTTCTCTCAGATGCTATGCGTCATATTGACGTCTTGCTTCGGAGTTCGTCCATTCTGTCATTGCAGTGCTTACTCCTGCTCATACAACTGGCGCTTTTACTACCCTACGCCGTCAATCTCTGGTACCTGACGGGTGAATCGGTGCGCATGGCTGTAAGCCTTGGTTTACATCAAGATCCGGATCTAGGGGTAACCGATAGCTCGAGCATTATTTATGCCGAAATGAGGCGACGATTATTCTGGGTGGTTAGTGATATATAGTCATGTGTTGCGAAATGACGCAATAGGCTGATTAAACCTATGCAGGTATATCAAGTCGACAGGACTGTTTCTATTTCATCAGGATGTCCCATTTCACTCAGCGATGAGCACATTACGACAAAACTTCCCTATAATGGCGGTGATCCACAGATGGATATTACCGAAGGGCTCAGATTGGCATCATTGCGAAAATCAAAAGAAAGGCTATTTTTATTCTGTACACGCATCTGTCTACTCCAATCTGGAATCCATGGCGTCCAGTTCTTTGACCAACCTATACCAGGTCAAACGAATGAAAATAACCACACCAACTGGGTTTGGAAGACACAGGAATTAGTCCAGATTCTCGCAGATCAAATATCGGTTGATGCACATGCTGAATCATCAGCGGCCGTCTGTGCGCCCTACGAGTGCCAACTACTACTGCACCGGCCATGTTCAAGAAACATAGCCGTTTCAGAGACGTCTTTAGTCCTTTCTGTGAAGGCGTCCATTCGGCTCATCGCGTTGTACATTCAACTAGCATCAGCTGGCGGGGCTGTCATGGTATTTGAACATGCCAACCGCGCATTTCAAGCCGGAATGGTTCTTCTCTATGCTCTGCGCAACCATGCCACCGTTCTAGATACTTCTGGATTGTCGACTGCTTCTTCTGATACTCTCGAAGATCTCGTAAGGTTATTTAACCTTCTCTCTATCCGGTGGCCTATCCTTGAAGACACGGCGAAATACGTCCGTGAGTTGGTTGATACGAACCTTCGAAATCCGATCGGTCACAACGGCTCTGCTTACGATATGAATGTACTCGAGGAGCTTGACTGTTTAGTAACACAACGCCGACTCCACAGCATTCACCACCGCAATATTCCATTCCCTCCCCCGCGAACTTCATATTCACGAACTGAGGACAGTGTATCTTTATTACCGCAAGATCTCGTCTTGGATGGAAATCCGGATGCTTCCATCGAAGACGAGAACTGGTGGCGGGACTTCATAAACGATGAATTCCATGCGGAAAACGAGAACCAGAAGATGGATTTGGATATACCCCCTGTTTTTCCTGAATCTGTGTCCAACTTCCGACTACAGGATATGACGTCCCAAGGCTCACAAAACCCCCAACAATTCCTACAGGCCCCCGAATCTAACTTTGAGGATCAGCTTGATTCCATTATACAAGCTCTGCCTGCTTGTAGTTTTTGTCGGGATCGACGTATCAGGTGTCATCGCCAACTTCCATCTTGCAGAGAGTGTCAACGATCTTCTCGGGAATGTGTCGTCTATGACCCGGTGCTGGCGCGCAATGTGCCCCTACGGTATGTGAATTGTAATAGAAATCTACTTTCTACACGCTGGTTTCACTCGATTACTGATCACCACCACCGTTCAATAGACAGATTTGCGGTCTCATTGATCAAATAAGAGCGTTTACTGTTCGATCGCAGCCTGAAACGGCCATGGGACAAAGGCTATCTCATGCTTGTCATGGAGTTGTCATTCCGGCTGGGAAATCTGCGCAAAGACCGCTGACATATGGGTTATTGGACCTCGAGCCAGCCTTTTCTGGACTTTTTTTCGGACCTCCAAGTTCTTTAGGATCTCTACTACGGTTGTTGAACCAAAGCCCCCATTTTGTGGTTCCACAAGATCTTATCGATGCCAGCCGTTTGGGGATTGGCGTTCAAGACCAGTGCAGCATGGGTCAAGACATTGAGAGACCCCCAGCCTCTACGGCAACTCGGCTTTTTAGCCTCTTCAAACACTCTGTCAATTTGTTCTTTCCGATCTTGGAGAAGCCAGTGCTTGAACAGATCTTGACCCAGCACTATGAGAAACCCAGTCCAGAAATGGACGAAACGACTTTGGCCTCAAATCCTGAAGATGGGATATTCTACTTGGTACTTGCCATTGCTGCACACATTGGCAAGGGCAACGAGCCCTCTTTGGCATCGAACGCGAAGGCGTATTTCCATAAAGCCATGTCTGCGTTTACTGTAAAATGCGATCATTCATCCAGGGCGGCCAACATACTCCTTTTTCAAAGAACCTTACTGGTCTCCGTTTATTTGCTTTTGAGCCCCGAATCAGGAGATGTCTGGCGTCATGTTGGGTTCGCAATTCGTCTATTTCTCGACCTTTCGCATCGACCATCGATGGAGCAAGATACAGACTATTGGCTGTTCTGTACACTCACGAGAACCTTGTATTGCCTTGAGAGGTACGTGCATCATGAAAAATCAAGCTTTCATCGTAAAGCGCTGACAAAATCTCGTAGTTCAGTGTCAATTGCCTTTGGCCGGCCAACATTGCTCATCATTGGGGACGATCTACGTCAGGTATAAAAAGAACCCCTTGAAAGCGTAAGAATATTTTGTACCTGAAGTCTAATATTATTTAGGAACTCACAAAGCCAGTTATGAATACCTTTGACGAACAGGTATCAATTTTCTCCTATCTCATCTCCCTCCTCAGGATGCAAATAAACAGTGCGGTCCTTAAGGTGACTCCAAAGAATGCCAGCCATGCGCAAGTGGATGCTCGAGAGTACCGCAAAGCACTTGATGAATGGCTAGCTCGTTGGAAAGAGGTAGTCGCATCTGTCCCCCTCGCCAAGGGAAAACGACAGCTCGAAAACTGGGGTAATCTTCACTACTACCACGGCCTGTTCACAGTTTCGCTGCTGTGGCCTACCCCCGGAGGAAAACCGACAACAGTCTGTGGAGAAATTTGCAGGGCATGCCTACGCTTGACCCAACATCAGCGTTTGTTTGCTAATGCATCTTCAAATGTCCTTGATGGGAATGAAATGGCCCCTGTAATATTCCCGATTAGCTGGCCCACGGGTCACCTAGTTTTGCAAGTGGTGTTGTTGCTGATCGGGAATGATGGGCAGTATAACAACGATGTAGATAGTTACAGGGAAAGACAAAGGGTAATTTCGGAAGCCCTCTGTCTACTCTCTATCTTGGAGGCTGACCCTTCAAATCTCTTGACAGGTCAAAGCTTGGCAGTGGAAGAGCTGTATAAGCTACATCACTCCGAAGATTTACGTGGCGATGAATGGGGGGGTAGTTTGGATTAAGCCAAGGGCCCTTTCCCAAGAAATTTCATCCACCCTGGCCTGTGCCACGAGTCAGAATCTTCCCACATGATCATCTAAATGTTTTGTGGCTAGCAATGTGATGTCGCAATTGTCTTTCGGTGGCAAATACTAGATGACCCCCTCCTGTCCTGGTATAAAGTGGAGGGAACCCCTCATATTATCTTATGCTTGGGCTTATATTCAGGCAAGTCTTATTTCTTTGCGTTACTTTACGTGTGCGATATACAAGAGGGAGTCGTATGGGCACACTACTACCATTAGTATTCGGTTTGTGCTAAGCATTGTGATTTAAAAAGATGATTGTTGTGCTCTAAGAGCTTCTTCCCAACTATTTCTCTCTTTGGGAAAGAGGAAATTCTGCGTAGAACAATCCTATACACAGGGACCTGATCAGATTTTCTCTTCCTGCTGTTCATACTCAGTTTCCTCCATCTCATCCAGTCTCTCGAGCTCTTGTAACTCGAAGTATCGCAGTAGAAGAACCCAGATGCACATGCCACAAATGAAACCCAGACTTGCCTTGAAACCTTTTCCGAACTGCGGCGCATCTGTGACAGGGTATAGGAATTGTTGAATCACTGTAGTCAGGGCAGCGCCGCACGAGTTCATGATTGCCAAGGTCAATGCCCTTACTTGAGTATCCCCAGAAGTCAAAATGTTGGCCCATGAATAATATAGGGGTGACAGTGGCCCATCTGAACCAGCAAACATATAGGAAACAATTCGCAGGCCCAGTGGGATATCCCAAATGACGAGACAGATGGTCCCGAAGAGCAGAATGCAAAGGTTAAACACGATTGCCGCCATTCGATAGCCCGTAGCGTCTACATATATGTTAAGAGCCATCGACAAGACAATATTCCAACCGTTGATAGATGTGGGAATATTGTTCACATCATAGAGTGACCAATGGCGCGTCGTATCGGTTTTCAAGTAGAGCTGCATGACAGTGTTCGCAACTTTACCCACTGTGGTGTTCCAGAACCTGGTCCGTAGTTAGAAATAAATATTATTGACCCGCATGGTCGGGTACTCGGTATAATTGGAACGCATGAGGGCAAAAACTTACATCCATAGAATTGTCAGCATATAGAGATGCCGTGACTTGATCGTACGGAGGAAAAGATCCCACGTGAAACGGGTCGTCTCTTCACGCCCGTCCTCCACCAGGCGCTGAATGCTTCGCTTCTTGTCTTCATCCGAAAGGTAGAAGGCCTTCGTATTATAAGGCGTGTCTGGAAAGAAGATAAAGCCAAAGATTGCAACAATGACGGTGATAATTCCATCGATGATGAAGACCCATCTCCAAGCGACAAGCCCATTCTTCCCATCAAGGCCTGCAAGCACTGCGCTTTGAAGATAGCCGCTAACCATAGAGCCAACGTATGCCGCACATGAGAAAACCGCTGTGCGCTTCCCAATTTCAGACCTTTTGTACCAAGATCCGAGGACGAACTGGATGCCTACGAAGCAAGACCCTTCGAGGAATCCGACGAAGAATCTCAACGGATACAACTGAAGCGAAATATTAGTACTTCATAGAAGGGACATTTGCGATGATTGCATATACTAGCCTGGTTAACATTGGTGACAGCATATGTACCAACAGTGAGTACGGCCCATAGCAGCTCAAGGCCGGGAAGTAAAAGTCTTGGTGGAATCCATGTCAGAAGGATGTTGGCGGGGATTGGACCCAAAATTTGTCCCACTGAAAAACATGTTGTTGCGAGGTTATACTCCGTGCCAAACATTTTGAGGTCTTCACGCATGCCACTGACGTATGCATTGCTCAAATTGGCCTGATCCAACCACTTAGTAAAGTACGCGAGGCAGCCATAAGTAAGGATGAAGAAATCAATTTTGAAGAGCAGCCATTTCTCGCTAGAGGTGGTGCCTTCAGGACACCAAAGAAAGAACTTGGGGCGGTCCTTGCCATAGAAGGACGAGAAGACATGCTTCAAGAAAAAAGAAAAAGAGAGCGTCATGACGAAACAATCCACGGTCCTTGGAGATTATACATGGGACAAATAGGACTGGGAACGTGCCATCTATTATACTCATGAGAGACGGGGGCCATAGCATTAAGGGACGATAAGTCAGAACTAGGATCCCAGTCAAACCGTTGAAGCGTTATCAAGTCGGCTGTTAAACTAACCTCTACCCGCATATCTTCCGCACTTTTGTATTGTTATCTAGCCCAATTAATCGGATAGTAGCCTCTCCCATTGATTGGGGAGTCGGGCAGATATGTATGCGACACACAGTATGGAGTATATGAGGGAAGTTGACTAGGTTTGCTGAAGATATGGAAAAGCACGGCTACTTAGATTTGCCTATCGTGGCGTGGCCTTATACCATCGCATCCACCACTCATGCGCGCAAAGTCTAGAAGAAAAAAGGTAAATATAGCATAAAGGGGGTAGTAGAGAGGGCTGTCTTTAAAGACAAAATAGTATGAGCATGCAGTATGCCATGGCCTTGTTTAATACGACGCGCATCTTCATATAAATATAGACGATTATCGCCCGTCAAGTATACAACCGGTTTCATGTGACTAGTTGACTTATCTTTGCCTTGGTTTATGTTAATCGGAAATGCTCTGAGGTGGATCAAGTTTTCTTAGATAAAGCACGGAATATATAAGTCAGATGAGGAGATAGTAGAGTCGGGTAATCCGACCCACCATACACGATGTGTGAGGGGGGACTTCTATAGAAAGCACACGAGTGATAGATAAGAAGAGCCCCACGGCCGAAATGATTATAGAAGTGAGGCCACACCCTTAAAATGCAAGTGTGTTTAGAATGTCACACAATTTTCATTTCCATCATTACAACATTCTTCTTAGAAAATAGACGTCGTTATGGCTGCAAGAACCTCTACAGTCGTTGATCTAACTGTTGTTAATCCAACACCTGTCAGTGCTCCTCTTTCATCATTTAAATTAGAGCTAAAGTTGTTGATGACAAACAGGATGAGAGCAAATTGGTCTTCTTCCATTCTGGATCACAGGCCACTTATCGAAAGGTGTCGGATAACCCAACGTCGTTCACCTCTATTCCTGTTATAGATCTTTCGGGAATCGAAGGTGATTCTATTGAAGCCCGGAAGCGAATTGCCAAAGAGATATACAATGCATGCCATGAGTGTGGGTTTTTTTATATCAAGAATCATGGCATTCCGGAGGATGTGATTCGGGAAACCTTCCAGCTTTTGCATAGATTCTTTTCTTTGGATATCGACACCAAGATGGATGCCCATATGCATAAGTGCCTAGCAATCCGAGGATATGAGCCAGTCCTAGAAACAAGGCTTGATTCCCGAACTAAAGGGGGTAGGTGCAGGATCAAACCCTCTGTGAAACACTTTTGCTAACAATTCGTATAGATGTCAAAGAGGCCTTTTCAATGGGCGACTGTGCGATTGAGCCAGAGCAAGACTATATAGGAAAAATGGGTAGACCACCCCCGTCCAACATTACCAAGCCACAAAATATTTGGCCGAAGGACGCGCCTTGGTGGCGGGAAGGACTCTATCGATACTACAACCATGCTTTCCCCCTTTCAATGAAGCTTGCCAAGATACTCGCGTTGGCATTTGGATTGGAGGAGACTGCCTTTGATGATATGTTCACTTTTCCTATCACTGGCATGAGAGCTCTGCATTACCCTCCCACTCCAGTGGAGGATGGGGAAATCAATGTTGGATTGGGCGCCCATGCTGACTTTTCCTGTAAGTTCACCCATATCGCAAGTGAAATAATGTGCTGACACTCTTTTATATAGGGCTCACGCTTGTTTTACAAGACAATGTCCCGGCTTTAGAGGTCCTAAATCAAGACGGGATTTGGGTTGACGCTCCTCCTAAGCCAGGGACAATTGTCTGCAATGTTGGCCAATTCCTAGAAAAACAAACGAATAGCGCTTTTCTGGCGACCGTTCATCGTGTTCGGAATAAAACTGGCCAGGAGCGATACTCGCTACCATTCTTTTTAACAATGGACCCTCAAGTCACCTTCGACGTCTTGGATTGTTGTAAAGATAAGGGCAAAGATAAGAAATACGAGCGCATAAATGTTGGGGACTTATATATCAGGAGGGTTCTTCCAGCGAGGCCTAAACACCCCACAAGCATCAAGTACAAAAATGTTCCTCAGGAGCAGTGGAGATATGATATGCTTCTCTCTTAGAGCGTATTTTAGATTCTAAGTTGAATGACAAGTGGGATTTTATATATAAGTCAATGCACTGGCTTTTAGAGCACCTAACATCCTAACATCCTAACATCCTAGATCCGCGCATTTTGATATTAAAATGGTTTTTTTCCTATATAAACTCTCGACCTACATATCCGGACAGGGGGATCAAAATGGCTACATTAAAATAATCTATAACTTATAAGAAAAATGCGTAAAAACTTTAAGATATATTAATTACGGTAAAAAAATAAGTATTTCTATATTTTTAAGCTATATATCTATAAAATAAAGCTAGAATTAGCTATTAAAGTTGCTAGCGCTAAGAAATAGCAATCGTGACAACTAATAAGATAATAGGTCATTAAGTAAGGGTAATAGGATACGTACCTTATACTAAAAAAAAGTAGGTACGTACCGGTTTTTTAATATTAAAATGGTACGTACTGGCTATTTTAATATTAAAATAGTACGTACTAGCCATTTTAATATTAAAAT